TTCTTCTGTCATCTTTGATTATTGACTAGTTCTCTTCAAATTGCAAATACCATGGCCCAGATCAGGCACACATTAATCTCCAGAATGATATCAATGCTCTTGAGGACTCTGGTGAGGTCTCTGACAACAGATTTTCCTAATGTTTTGTTTTGTTTTTATTTTCTGACTACTGGTGCTAAGAGTATTGATTGTGAAACCAAGTACGCTGAAATTGTTAGCAGTCTCAATCTCTTCTCCATCAGTCACAATGCTGGCAATTGGACCAGTGGTGAGAATCTTCATTTTCTTGATATTGAGCTTCAATCCACATTGCAGACTACAGTTATTCACCCTCTGCAGCTGATACTTCAGGCCCTCCTCATTTTCTGCAAACAGGGTTGTGTCGTAGGCATAATGCAAGTTGTTGAGGAGCCATTCACCCTCATAAAGTCCAGCCTCCTTAATTATCTGTTCCACATATAGGTTGAAATAGTTTAGAGACAGGATGCATCCCTGCACGTTCCTTTCCTGATTTGAACCATACCGTTCTTGACTTTGAACCAAGAATTTCTTTGATCTGTTCTGATATAGCCTCCTAGTCCGAATAGGTTTCACTATTAGGTGTTCTGCAATTCTTGTTTTTCTCAAGTTTAGCCACAATTTGTTGTGGTCCACACAATCAAATGCTTTTTGCATAGTCAATGAAACACAGATATACATCCATCTGGTACTCAACCAAGATCATCTGACATGGGTGATATAACTAGTGCCACAACTTCTTCTAAACCCAGCTTGTAGTTTTCTGTCAATGTACTATTCCAGGCATTTTTGCATAATATTCAGTAAGATTTTGCTCGTGTACGGTATTAGTGATATTGTTTGATAATTTCCACACTATCTTATCACCTTTTTTTTAAAAATGGGAATAAATAGGGATTTCCTTAGTTGTGCAAAGTGATTGTCCTCCATATTTCTTGAAACAACTTGGTGAGCACATCCAGGGCAGTATTTGTTTGTTGAAATATATCAATTGGTATCTATCAATTCCTGGAGTCTTGATTTTTGCCAATTCCTTCATGGCAGCTTGAATTTCCTCTTTCATCACCACTGCCTCTTGGTCTACTTACATGTGATATTAATGTATTGTCAGATCACTTCATTATTATTTTGGATCATTTTCTTTAGAATGGGCACAAATATGAATCTCTTCCCATTGGTTGGTCTGGCACCCCCCTTCCAAATTTCTTGGCATAGAGCATGTTCATGGGTACATCTGTTTGTTGAAACATTTCAATTTGTACTTTGCCAATCCCTAGAAATTTATTTTTATCATACAATTATTTGTTCTCTGTCCAAATAGAGAATGGGAACACTGCATGATTTAAAATCAAGAAAGGTGTGTGTGTCAGGGTTGTATCCTTTCTTAATAACTATTCAATCTGAATGCTGAACAACACATCATTTGAGAAACTGGACTCTATGAAACAGGATAGGAGAACTAGACTCTGTGAATGAGAATGTAGTTTCAGGATAGGAGAAAGACTCATCAAAAACCTCAGTCATGCCAATGACAAAACCTTGCTTGCTCAAAATGAAGGAGACGTGAAATGTTTGGTGCATAAGATCAAAGAATGCAGCTTTCAGTGTGGATGACATCTCAACATCAAGAAGACAAAAATTCTCACCGTTGAACCAAAACTCAAATTCATAATAGATAGAGAAACAATTGAATTTGTCAACAATTTTATCTTATTGTGTCCAACCACAATCAGAGAGTTGGGCAATGACTAAGGAAGGTAGAAAGAGAATTGATGCCTTTGAGCTATGGTGCTGGAGAAGAGTATTGAATGTACCATGGACTGCGAGGAAAACAAACAAATTCATCCTGGAAAGGGTTAAACTGGGCTGCTCCTTGGAGACAAGGATTCTAAGGCTTTGTCTGACATACTTTTGGCATGTTGCAAGGAGGGACTGATCCTTGGAGAGGGACATCATGCTTGGAAGGGAAGAGGGACGGAGAAAGAGAGGAGGATAATTGATGAGATAGATTGATACAGTGACTAGGGTAATGAGAGTAGGTGTGTCAGAGACAGTAAAATTGGCACAGGGTAGAGCAGGTTTCAGTGCTATTGTACATAGGGTTGCTTTGAGTAGCAAACAACTCAATGGCACATAACAACAAAAAAAAGTCAGAGTGACTCTGGAAATCACTTCTACTTCTTTGGAAGAATAAGTGTTTTATAAATAATAAAAACTTCTTCTTTCTTCCAGAAAAAGTACAAGCTGAAATTGACAGAGTACTTGGCCAGACCCAGCAGCCCAGCATGGCCAACAGAGACCAAATGCCCTACACTAATGCTGTCATCCATGAGGTACAAAGGATGGGCAACATCATCCCCTTGAATGCCCCCAGGGAAGTGGCATTTGATACCACTCTGGGTGGATATGACCTGCCAAAGGTAATCAAAGACTTCAGCTTCAAGCTCTTCTTTAGACAATAGGAATCTGAACTGGGAAAGTGACTTAAATTCAAATTCCAAGGAAGCACTCAAATAGGGAGAGGGATAAACTATACCTGCTATTTTTCTTTTTCTTCCTGAGTATTGCTTAAGAACTTTGATAAAACTGACTGTTAATGGATATTGTTGTAACATGTGCCGTTAAGTTGGAACCAACTCATTCTTGACACTCTGGCAGGCTTTCAGAGGCTATAAATCTTTGATAAAACTGACTGTTAATGGATATTGTTGTAACATGTGCCATTAAGTTGGAACCAACTCATTCTTGACGCTCTGGCAGGCTTTCAGAGGCTATAAATCACACAAGACACTGCCCATCTTTCTCCTGCAGAGCAACTGATGAGTTCAAACTATGTGCCATCGAGTTGGCAGTGTAGCTTTTTACCACTAGACCCTGAAAATCTTTACTTGATATTAGGGGGAGGAAAAAAGGGAATGACAAGAAACATTTAGGGGAAAATGTGATTTTGCTATGTTATTTGAGGAGATTTTGCTATACCAGTTTTCATTGGAAATTTCAATGGTAGAATTTTCAGCTTGCTTGTTGGAAACCCATATTAAGTTTCTGACTAGTGCAGTTCAGTTCAGTCACTGTCAGTACCTGTTAAGTGTTGCTACCAAGAACCCACTTGATGGCCTTTAACAGCAATATGATGGTGAATCTGTGTTAGCACAGCTTCTAAACTAGGAGTAAAGACCTGATGAACTCTTTCTAAATGGATCACAATATTCTGCTCTTCTGTGTGGGGTCATTATGAGTTGGATTTACAAGATGTAACCAATAACAACAGAGTGCATGGTGGATCTTCATTGGGATATAACAGGCAGCAGTTCTAGTTACATCTAGCTACAGAACGTTTGTTTTTCTCTGGTAGACTATTTCACAATTCTAGGCCCTTGTTGCATGTAATACTAGAGCTATGAAATGGTCAGATGTGAAAAGCGTGTTTGAGAACGCATCCTTATGCTGGTATTTCCAACACAATATCCCACAGCTTTCACACAATTACTCATTGCCTTCGAGCTGGGACTGACTCAGCATACCCTCCAGCAGATTTTCCAAGGCTGTAAATAATACAGGAGGAGCTTGCCCATCTTTATGCCTTGGAGAAGGTGGTGAAATTGAACTGCCTGCCTTTGGATTGACAGCACAACTCTCTACCAGCTAGGCCACCACAGCTCCCCTTTCACATACTAGCTGCAAGGAATAGGGAATGTAATATGACAACGGGGGAATTCTAGAACTCCTAGGAGGACTCTGCCACATTTTAGAAAATGACAGCATTCATCAAGCACTGACTGAGTGCTGTAGACTATTGATCTTCTTTCAAAATGTCCCAGTCCTCATAATCATTCTTTCTTTTGTACCCATCTTTTAGATTGTAAAGTGAGGCTCAGAAAAATTAAGTGCCTTGAACAAAGCTGAGATCAGAAAAATATTTGCTCTGATTCCAGAGCTCAGACTTACTTCCTTATTTTTTTACTTCCCCTGTTTTTTTCAACAAGAGTTTCCTTCCTTTCCCTTTAAAATTAGAATTGTTGGACTGCTAACTGAAAGGTCATCGGTTTAACCCATTGACCTCTCTTCCAGAGACAGATGGACAGTCATTTTTTGTTAAGATCTATCACCTTGGAAACCTGCAGGAGATTTCCATGATTCCTAATGGACTGCCAAACAGTGAGCCTAGTTTGCATTTTTTACATTTTCATCAGTTTTTGCTGTTTCAACTGTCTTAACATCAGCCCTAGATTCTCGTGCAATCTTACACAAAAGAACAAAAATCTGCTTAGTCCAACATCAACCTTATGATTAATTGTGGATCACATCACTATAATTGATAGGATTTTCAGCAGACAATTTTAAGTAGCTTGTTGTTCAATTCTACAAGCAAAATTTTGTAATTCCACATTACAAAAGAAGTTCCCAGTCTTCCAGCACATTAGATCTCTGCAGACAGTTTTACTGTGCCATTTTGAGTCCTCTCTACATCTCTACCCTTGTGCCTCACCACCCAGGAGGCATATTGAGTTATGAGTTGGGCTGTTAAAGGAAATAATGGTGGTGGTTTGCATCTACCAGCCACCCTGTGTGTAGCCATGTTAAGGGGGCCGGCTTTGACTGAGTCTTTTCTGATTCCTCTAGGGGACCATGGTCATGACCAATCTGACTGCACTTCACAGAGACCCCAAAGAGTGGGCCACCCCTGACACATTCAATCCAGAGCACTTCCTGGAGAATGGACAGTTTAAGAAAAGAGAATCCTTCATGCCCTTTTCAATAGGTGAGTTGTAATTCATAGACAAGAGGAGATCAGAGTTGCTCTGTTAGGCCCCCTCATCTCCTTCCTGTCGTCCTTTGCTATAATTGGAATGTTTCCAGATGGTCCTGCCTGACATGATTCCAGTCAGTAAGTGACAAAGATGGAGAAGAGACAGAAGTTGATAACAATAACAACTTGCTCTGCTCCACAATCAACACTCCTAACACTAGCAGTCAGGAAATCAAAAGACGAATTGCATTGGGAATATCTGCTGTCAGGGGCCTCTCCAGAGTACGGAGAAGCAACGATGTCCAGTCTAAAGACTAATGAGTGTCTAACCCGGGCCATGGACCTCGCAATTACTTGCTATGCATCAGAGCTAGACAATGACTAAGGATGACAGGAAAAAAAATCGATTCCTTCAAATTGTAGTGCTGCAGAAGAATCTTGAATATACCATGGTTTGCCAAGAAAACAAATAGCTCTGTCTTGGAGAGGGTAAAACCAAGTTTCTCCTTGGAGGCTAGGATTTTGAAGCTCTGTCTCATATATTTTGGGCATGTGGTCAGGAGAGAACAGTCCTTGGAGAAGGATATCATGCTTGGAAGTTTGGAGGGACAGCATAGGGGAAGAAGACCTCAAATGAAATGGATTGATACAGTAACTGGGACAATGGAGGTTGGTGTGTCAGAATTAGTGACACTGACTCAGGACAGGGCAGGGTTTTCAGAGCTGCTGTATATGGGTGTCATTATGGGTTGCAGACAACTTGACAGTACATAAAAACAACATTCTTTTTCTAGGAATACTTAGCTTAAATTTTCACAACTGTATATATAGCGTAATGACTCGCAGTTTTATTCTCTCACATTCCTGGCAGCTTTAAGTCTGAAATAAAGATTTAGGCAAGATTATTTTTTTCTAGAAAGCTCTAACGAAGAGTCTGTTGAATGTTTCACTCCTATCTTTTGGTAATTTTGTGCAATCCTTGGCACTTCGGTCTCTCTCTACCATCATAGGCTTCTTTCCTTTGGTGTTTGTCTTAGGAGAACACCAATCATGAGATTGAACGCCCACATCACTTTAGTCTGATCTTATCTTCACTAAATACCTATGCACGGAACCTTACACAAAGAGATTCTATGGTGTGATTCTGGGGAGGACAAAAATTTGAGGAAGACACTACCTACTCTGTATAAATGCCTTGTACTTGGGAACCCTAGCTTTGACATTTCTCTCTTTATGTCTCTGGAGACTTTGTTTTCATGGATTGCAGAAATTCACAAAGTATTTTGTTGTTTTGTGGTTGGATTTTGTTGTTGTTGTTGTTGTCTTTAGGCTAGAAAATCACTTTGTCGAAAAACTCTTTCCTCTTTATTGTTGACCCCCCTGCACTTTGACCCCCGTATAACCCTGTCTGACTCTTGGAGACATTAAAGTTCATGATGTGGACTTCTCTGTGCATGAAGTCACTTAGTTGGCAAACTGAATTTACCCTCGAGTAATAGAGCTTCAAGGATTTGCAGGTCCTTCCTCTGCAGGATGGCAAGGGTATTTCCATGCCTGTCAGGAACCTCGTCCAGTGGGGAATATAATTCAGTCTCATGTTTTTGCCTTTCAGGAAAACGCGTTTGCATTGGAGAACAGCTGGCCAGAGCTGAGCTGTTTATCTTCTTCACTTCCCTTGTACAAAAATTTACCTTTAGGCCCCCAGCCAATGAGAAGCTGAGTCTGAAGTTCAGAACAGCCATCACCCTCTCTCCTGCCAGTTACCGCATCTGTGCTATTCCTCGAGCCTGATGCTGCTGGGGGAAAGAAAGAGAACCATGGAATATGTCCTGGAGACAACAGTGCCTGCTCAGAAGTGTGGGATCAGACAGAAATGCCTCTGAGGAAAGACAATAGGAATTGAACTGAAGAAATGGAATCCAAATCCCAGCTCTGCTGTCTCCTGTGATGTAGAGAGTATCTCCTGTTATGTAGTCTATGAAGCTGTTGTTAACAATATAAATAATATCTTTTAATCAAGGAGATGAAAAGCAGATAATGATACTCTTCCTAAAGAATGTTGCTGTACGAATCAAAAGAAGTAATGAATGCAAAGAGATTTGTAGACCATAAAAATACTTTATCAAGTTACAGATATGATATTGCCTTTGCCTTCTTTATATCAATATGACTAAATTACCTATTCATTTAGCTCAATTCAGTTAAATGGTGTAAGATGATTGTGAACACCTTGAATTTGGACCCTTGGATGACCTCAGGCTCTACCATTCAAAAAGCACTTATGTATTTTGGAATCTCTGGGTGGTGTAGATGGTTAATACATTTGTCTCCTTATGCAAAGGAAGGTCTGATGCCCTAGTGCTAAGAAGCAATGCTGCAATCTGCAGGGCACATGGTTCAAATCCACCAGCTGCTCCTCAGCAGAAGGAGGGCTAATCTCCTCCTTTTTTATTAACTGCCTCTGGAATCCCACTGGAGGTTCAGTTATTGGTCAGTTTCAACTTGATGGTACACAATAACAACAACAACAAACTTACAAGAAGTTAGAGGTTCAAGGTTCCAGTCCATCCAGGAAAACTTCAAAATTCTAGTGAAAAACTCAGCTATTAAAAGTCCCATGAAACACATTTCTGCTCTCACACAGGAAATCACTTTGTGTTAGAATTAACTTGGCAGGTTTTAGTGGACTTTAGTTTAGGTGTGTGCTTAATCTCACCTAATCCTCAGGAAGTCATTGGTGGAGGATCGTTGGTGATGTCAGCAAGGCAGATATTTATTATTGATTATTTACAGTTAGGTAGAATGATATTTATAGTATGATTTATCAAAATATATGCTACCTTGACTTTGGACTCAGGCCCGATAGAGTTTAACCATACTGGGGAACATGTTTAGGGAGAAATGATGCAAATAGTTCCTACTTTCCTGGCCGTCCACTGGATTCTAGCTCATAGTTTCTTTATATGGACCCTTTAGTACAGAGAAACACTGCTAACAAGGAATGAAAGAAGCACTGGTGGCACAATGGCTATAGCTTTGACTACTAACTAAATGATTCCAAGCCACAATACACAGAAGAAAAATCACCTTCCTTAAAAATTACAATAATTTTTACAGTACCAAATTGTTGCGGAATGTTGGGGAAGAAGGGAAGGCCTCTGACCATGACAGATTGCCTATGCTCCAGATAAGTGCAAGCCTCCCAATGACCTTTAATACAGGATCTAGAAAGCTCCCCTGTGTTTGGTTATATTGGCTTGAGAAAGCTCACCACCTGGGAAGATAGCTGCTGCATCTGTTGAGCTGGGAGTGATTGCACGAGGCTGAGGTTCTCCTAACCAATCTGCATGTCCCACATCTGTAAGCCCACTCTATCCTGTCTTCCTGTTTATATAAGTGCACTGCAGAGCCCAATAAAATTGAGCTGGATTGACTCTGATCTTCTGCCTGAGTGATGTATCTTTGTCATGCTTACCCCCATCAGGGTGTCGCTGTCAAGTTGCTGACGAACTGACAGCGACACCAAATTGTCATGTTTTTCTCCTGCAGAGCTGATTTCAAACTACTGATTTTTTTCAGTTTATCAGTCAAGAACTTAACCTCTATGCCAGGAGGCCTCCTTCACACTTCAGAGGCAGCTACTCAACTTAATCTATATAACCTTCCACTGGGCTTTTGTTTCCATTGTTTTATATCATGATTTAACAAAGGAAAGACTATACATCTTCTCTTGGAAACTAAACTGGAAGCTTTGGATGTCAAGAGTCACTAGCCTGAATTTATCTAAGATGACTCTGGTCATATACAGATTTGAGTACTTCTGATATCATCAATGATATCCTTCCACCTTTTCTGAATCCAGCTTAAATTGATGGTGTCTTTCTATGTACTGCTACAACAATTTTTAAGTTATTTTCAGCAAATACCTGCTTGTGATATTAATGATACAATTTAGGAATTTCCACATTGTATTTGACTACCTTTCTTTTGAATGGGCATAAATAGGAATCTTATCCTGTAGATGTGGCAGGCAACAATCTTTGAAATTTCTTTCTATAGATGAGTTAGTGCTTCCAGTTTTATATCCATTTATTGAAACATATAAGTTGATATTTCCTCAATCCCTGAGTCCCCCCATCCCCCCACACTAGTACCTTCAAGGTAGCTTGGATTTATTCCTTCAGGACAATACATTTTTATAAATATATTATCTTCTTATGAAGGAGTTGCCCATAGCCAGTTCTGTGTGGTCCATAACAAACTGTGGCTGACTCTGAGAAGAATGGGAATCCCACAACCCTTGATCATACCAATGAGAAACCTATACTTGGACCAAGAGGCAGTCATCAGAACAGAGCAAGGAAACACAGCATGGTTCAAAATTGGGAAAGGTGTACTCCAGGGATGTGTCCTGTCTCCATACCTTTTCAACCTATATGCAGAACAGATTATCTGGGAGGCTGGGCTCTGTGAGAGAAATGTGGGGTCAGTTTGGTGGATGATCCATCAACAATCTGTGATATACAGATGACACAGCCCTGCTTGCTAAAACTGAGGAGAACCTGAAGCGCTTGCTGCAGAGGGTCAAGGACTGCAGCCTTCAGTATGGATTTAGACTCAATGTCAAGAAGACAAAGATTCTCACCACTGGGCCAGTTGGCAGCATCAGGATGGATGGTGAAGAAATTGAGATTGTTCACAGCTTTAGGTTGCTTGGCTCCACAGGCAACAATTTGGCACCAGTAGCCAGGAAATTAAAAGGCATATTGCCATGGGAAATTCTGCTGTTAGGGACCTCTGCAAAATACTGAAGAGCAATGGTGTCTCTCTGGAGACTAAGGTGTGTCTGATACAGGCCATGGTCTTTGCAATCACTTGTTATGCATCAGAGAGTTGGACAATGACTAGGGAGGATAGAAGGAGAATTGATGTCTTTGTGCTGTGGTGCTGGAGAAGAGTATTGAGGGTACCATGGCCTGCTAGGAAAACAAACAGATTCATCCTGGAAAGGGTAAGTAAAACCTTGCAGCTCCTTGGAGGCAAGTACTCTGAGGCTCCATTTAACATACTTTGGACATGTTGTAAGGAGGGATCGGTCCTTGGAGAGGGACATCATGCTTGGTAGGGTGGAGGGACAGCGCAGGAGGGGAAGGCCCTCTATGAAGTGGATTGATTCAGTGACTGGGATAATTGGGATGGGAGTGTCAGAGGCAGTGTGATTGGCACAGGACAGAGCAGAGTTTAGGGCTGTTGTACATAGGATCACTATGAGTTGCAAGCAACGCAACGGCACATAACAACTGTGAAATTTTTTTTTCCATTTAGTGTTCTTTATTTTTTACATATTTATTTTATTTTATTTTATTTTGGTTTTCAAACAAAATTTATACACATTTTGTTTCACAAATTCCTTGATTCACTCTGTTTCATATGATCATTACTATGCATTGCATTTTATAAAACCAATCATTCTTTGCATATGCCTACTATCACTCCATCTTTTCCCCCCACTGGAATTCTCCTAATTCCTTCATCCCCTCCCTCCATCCAGCAAACTCTACAACCCTATGATTTTCTCCCCTTCCCTGTCCTTATCATCCTTACTCTTCCCTTTTCTTCCTCCTGTGAACTTTATACATATCTCACTAGTTATCATTCTGTTTTTACAATAATGGTTTTATGCAGTATTTGTCCTTATAAGACTGAGTTAGCTCATTCAGCGTAATGCTCTCTAGCCTCTCCCATTTTATATAGTATTTTTTTAAACATTGCTCCTGGGTGCTGCATAGTACTCTGTCGTGTGAATATACCACAATTTTTCAATCTGTTCAATTGCTGATAGATATTTGGGCTATTTACATATTCCTTTTGTTGTTAATAATGCTGCTGTGAACATCAGCATACAAACCTCTGTTTGTGTCTCAGTTCTATTTACCCCAGGGCATATTCCTAGCTTTGGAATATGGAGTTTATGTTTTACTTTTTAAGGAAATCTCGAATTGCCTTCCAGAGTGGTTGTACCATTTTACAATCTCACCAGCGGGTATAAGAGTTTCTCCTTGGGTAATTAAATATTTTGCCAACTGAATTATTTGCTATTGTAACTTAAAGATTATACTGTAAATCTATGTTATCTATGGGGTGGGGTTTTTTCAGTTTTTCAGCTTGAGAAATGCCAAGTATGTTCTTTAATTTTGGATTTTTATCTTTAGATTTTTATACATATGGTTAGAATATTTTACCTTTTCTTCTCAAGCCACACTTTGTCATATTTTGTTCAGTTCTTGTACCTCATCCTTTCTTCCATTCACTAAGTACTTTACACTCAAGAACAAGTTTCAGAATCTCTTCTGATATCCATTTTGCTGTTTGGTTTTGTGTTGATTTCTTAAAAAAAAATCTCTCCTAAAAAATTATTTGCTATTTAATGACATTGGGCTTTCTTTATGTGTGTCATCCTGTCATGTTATTAATATTTAATGCCAATACTCCAAACTGTTCTTGATATGGTGTATAAATTTAAATAGGTTATACTTGTAAAAAGAGCAAGAACCATGCAGACAGATGGACAGATCTGACTTTTACTTTACAAAGGAGAACTGTCTCTGTCAGCAGCATTAACAACACAAAACCAATTCCCATGAGGTCAAGCATTGCCCATGCTCCCACACCTCTTTCTACTCATCTCCTTAATCTTACTGCTTTACTGTGTCCAAAATTTGATGTGTTAGCTCACAGACAATATAAAACCATATAGGGGAAATGAAAGGCTGTATAATTCAGGTTAGTAG